AAACCAAAGAGGAGGAAATTCGAATCTATTGGGAACATCCCAAAAAGATTGAAACAAGGGACTTAACTCAACTGGGACTAACCCAAGGAGGAGGAAATGAGAATACAAACTCTATTGAGGACATAAGCCTAAATGGGTAGTATATGCCTTAGGAGGTGAATACCATCTATCAAAGATATGATAGTTTAACACAGGTAAACACAAAATGTGGATTGAATACTATCTATCAAAGATATGATAGTTTATCAACGATAAACACAAAAGGTGGATTGAATATCATCTATAAAAGATCTGATAGTTTAACAATGGTAGACAAACAAAGGAATAAAAGTGAATACCATCTATTAGAGATCTGATAGTTTAACAATGGTAAACACAAGGATTGAATACTATCTATCAAAGATCTGATAGGTTAACATTGGTAGACAAACAAAGGAATAAAATTGAATACCATCTATCAAAGATCTGATAGTTTAACAATGGTAAACACAAAAGGTGGATTGAATACCATCTATCATATATTTGATACTTTAACAATGCTAAACAACCAAAGGAATAAAAGTGAATACCATATATCAAATATATGATAGTTTAACAATGATAAACACAAAAGGTGGATTGAATACCACCTATCAAAGATCTGATAGTTTAACAATGGTAAACAACCAAAGATATAAGAGTGAATACCACATATCCAAGATATGATAGTTTAACACAGGTAAGCACAAAAGGAATAAAAGTGAATACCATTCATCAAAGATCTGATAGTTTAAAAACTATAAACAACCAAAGATAAAAGAATGAATACCATCTATCAAAGATCTGATAGTTTAACAATGGTAAACATAAAAGGTGGATGGATCAACCAATCTTTAAAGCAAGACAACATCTTATAACAATAACCAAAGCTCAATCTAGGAACAAACTAGAAAAAAAGTTCAAATAAGACTTAACTCAGTGAGGAAATAACTCAACTGTGGAATTTGTTCTATCCAAACAATATAAATTGGGAAAGAATGCTGAATAAAATCTCCCACGAGAGACGAACTCAGTGGGGAAATGAAAGGTATATACTCTTTCTACTTATGGGGATGTTCTATTGGAGGAGAGACACAGTTTTATATGGTGGTAAACAATCACCAAAGAGAGTTAGTTTAAAAACAACAAAGAATGCAAATGTGTACAAATATAAGTTCGAATATGCATGATGTATGAGTAATGTTTAAAGGTATTATGATGCGTATGCTGACAAGAAAAACACGTTATACTGGGGATAAACAGACAAAACAAACCTGAGTATAGACGGCACTCTACTAAATTACATCCAAGATGGAAATCCCACTATAGAGTAAGAAAACAACTGAGTAAACAACGTCCTACTTCAAGGCTTAAATTCTCAGGGAAACCAGATGTTGCTTGAGAATAAACAAAGCACAATATTATAACAACAATCCACAAAGATGTAGGGATAACACCAAACTTCCTCTAAGCTTCAGTGGGAAATAAAATATGGACCTCACTGTGGAACGGGATACTTCCTCTGCTGGGAAGAAACGACAAACAGGTTCTATCTTTCTTGAAGAATGAAGAATTGTTGAAAAACTCTAAACCAATAAGCTTTGGAGGAAATAAACACCATACCAACATGCAACAGTGTGCTAACAATAAACTGAAGTATAAACAGAGAAGGTTCCTCAAATAAACAGGAGAAAACTACACTTCATGCTTTAAAATTTTTCCATCCTCGGAACTACTATTTTTACTCTTTTGATTCACAAGTTAAAGTAAAGCGTTTTCATGATTTTTTTAAAACATGTTTTATTATTTATATCCTTTTTTTTCAAAATTTACTATCAATGATAAATGAAATATATGTAAGCAGAATAAAACTAAGAATTTCAAAGGAAATGGGTAAAGGCTCGAACTTTATTAATAGACTGGTAGTCCAGAAATGGCGTGACTCCATAGATGATTATAAAGTTTGGAAAATAGTAAGTACATGAAAAAGATATATTGAAATACAATGACCACTATTATCCCTAACAACTTTGAACTTATATGTTTGGACTTTAGTTGAAAAGTGATGAGAATCCGAGGAAGATTGTTGCTTCAATGATTAAGTCTTGTCTGATGTAGTTACTTGCCATTATTCCCTAACTTTTATCTAGATTGCCCATGCGGGTTTTCAATCTACCAGGATGATTTATTCTGTTTATGTATCTAATTTTTTCCTAGACAACACTTTCGATTTTTCAGTCCACCGAGACACTCACTCTTGCCTAAGTCACCCTTTCGGGTTTTCAACTTAGCGAGTTGTTTTTTATTTCTTTAGGCGAAGTATTTCTTGACTGCATCAGCATTCACAGAAATCAGGTACTCCTCACCATCCATTGTTTCAAGAATGAATGCACTTCCAAATAAGCCTTTCTTGACAACATACGGGCCTTCATAATTAGGAGTCCACTTGCCCCTAGAATCCACATTAAAAGACAAGATTGTTAATTCTCTATTTTTAGGATTGGAATTAATTTTTGTAAAAAAAAATAAGACAACAATATGTTAGGTAGGATGTATAGAACTTGACAACATGAACAAGTTGAGCAAGAAGTCCTATCCTATGTTGGGACATGTTGAGTTGGAGAAGTTTCAACATCACGAACAACATGTCAAATAATATGTCCTATGAAGCAGCATACGACATTGCGCTTGAGTTGAAGTGATTCTATTAAATCTGTTATGATTTAATAAGTACTGAATATTCAGGGAATATTATGCAATCCTATGTGGAGATTAAATCAAGATTAAGAGAATCAAGTCAGAATATTTGAAGATTATACAATTTCTAAATATGCAGATTATTTAGGAAATTAATGATTGAAGACCTTGTTTGTAGTAGAAGTTTATGCCGATTCATAACAGGTGGTTTGCTATTATTAGAAAGCCCAAGTCCAGTTGGGAATAAGTTATAAATAGGAGGGTTTGTAATCTGGTTTGGCATGAGTTCAAGATGTAGAAGTCTAGGGCTTTGTCAAGGTGAACCACCCTGGTTGTGGGATGGTCACCATGCTCTTCTCGAAGTTGTGAAGCAAGAGTTGGGTATTGTTCTTGGAGGAAGTTTTGAAGCAACTCCAAGTTGTGATATTAGTCAAGATTCTTGGCTAGTGATTGTCATGAAAGTGTTTCTTCCTGTTTGTTCATAATTGTGTTGATCCAATTACAGTCTGTGATTGAAGAGGGATTGAGGAGGGCTTCATATCTAGGTGAGTCTTAGATAGATATCTAGCGAGGGTAGTGATTAAGTGATTATAGTGTAAACTGGGATGTTTGCTATAGGGTATATGAATTGATAGTACTATTAGCGGATTTGTCCCTGGCTTGGTATGCCCCAGAGTAGGTAGTTAACTGAACTGGGTAAACAATTTTGTGTGTTGTTTTATGCTTTTCTGTACTGGTTTTAATGTTTATACCTTGCATGTGTTGTTTATTTCATACTAGATGTCTCGACATCCTCTTAGAACATCTTGGTTCTGTCGTACCTGAATTTCAATTGGTATGAGAGCAGGCATCTTGTTATATTCTGGGTGAGATCCTAGGATGATACTTTCTGGTCATGGGTAAGGAAGGTATTACTGAAAAGTTATTTGACTTGGAGGGTTCATGTTGTTATTTGATTGGTCCCTAGAAGTGGAGGATGGACTGTTCTTGACAGGAGGTTGTTGCACCATAAAATTTACCCTCTTGATTTCTGAATTTTTATTTGGCTTACATTTCATCTGCATACACATGCATGCATTGGTTCTGTTGCTATAGGATCAAGGTATGCCAGTAAAGCATCAATTGTTTATTAGAAACGTCAAAGGCTTTGTACAGGAAATTTAATCACTTGAGGAACGGCTTATCACCATGTTCTATTCCCGTGTATTTTCTCATGTCTTGGGCAATATAAGGGAACTAGAGGGTTTGATCTGATTAGGAACAATTCGGGTAAAAAAATTTGTTTCGGTGTGTCAACTTCATAATTTGCAAACTGCGATCCAGATCATTGTTTTGGGCTGAAATTTTATCACCAAGTTCGTTTTGATATTATCTTCACTTTTCATATTCGGGCCGGGAGCCAATTAGGTGCAGAAGGTGGTCAAATAATTTTATCATTGAGTTTTCAGGTTACCGATCAACGGTGTTTCAGGCCTTCAGAAGTTTCTAACTCCGATCTCGTATACCGTCTCAAGGTTTTTTTCCACTGTTAAAACCTCCTCGATATCCTCTCCAATTTCCATGTTCAGGATTAAAGCCAATTCTCGAAGGAAGGTCCCCGAATTCGCAAGTCAGACAAAGCTGAACGGTGGAAAATACTAATAAACAGTTGGTTGAACCGTGTTTTTATGCGCATTAAAAAAATTCATATCTCCTGGTTCGAGTATTGTATGAGCATGGTTTCTATGCCTAAAATTTCGTCTTGATATCCTCTTGATGTACGTCCAGGGGCGAGAGCTGACTATTTGAGGAAGGCTGCGTAAAATTTGAATTACTGAGAATTATTTGGTATTTGTCTGTTCGGTTTCCAATATTCAAAAATTCATAACTCGGTTAATTTTTACCGAATTGGACCCGTTCTTGAAGCGTTGGCTTGCTAATTTGGTCTCTTACAATTCCGTTTCATGTTTCTAAGACGAAAGGTAGCTCAAAGACCTCCGTTGTTGATTTATTTTGCAAAACGGAGCTGTTCGTACCAGCGAAACAGGCTTAACATCATTGTACTGTAAAATTCATAAAAAATCAATTGTTTATCAGACCACTCTCATTTTTTGACACGATGTCAGGCACTCAGAGATGCATGTTTTTCCTAGAAATTCCGAATCGAGGTTTTGATTTCTGGGGCACGACCTTGTGATGTTTTCAAGTAGAAGAGGTCAAATAAGCTGATATTTTGACGTAATTAATTTTTGACAGTGACAGCTCGTCGCTTAAACGTATCGAACTCATTCGATTTTTGTCAGAAAATGTCCGTTCTTTTTGGGTTGCTTCCGTAACTCAGGGGCACATATTTTCACAAGAGGTTTGCGTTCGGAAAGTTTTACGGATCACAGTGTGATTTTCACTTAAGCCATGAATAAGCTGAAAACATAACAAAAAGGAAAGAAGTTCTCCCTCCCGAACGGTCTTCTCACCACCGTCGGATTTCTCGTCTCAGCCAACTCCGACCTCCCTCCTCCCTTGCCGCCGGACTTCCGTTTTCTCACCACCGCCGGACTGTTCTTCCTATCTCAACTCCGCAGCTCCCTCCGTCTATAATCTCTCTCCATCTGCAGCTCCCTTCGTCTGCATTCTCTCTCGGTCCGCAGCTCCCTCCGTCAGTAACCTCTCTCCGTCTGCAACTTCCATGCGTCTGCAACCTCCTTCCTCCGTGTCTTGCTTCCTCTCAGCCGGTACACTCAGCTCCGGTTAACCTCGACTCTTCCTCTTCATATACTTCAAGCGTCTTCAGGAGGTATTGTTATAATTTCCTTTGGTTTTCTGTTGAATCTTGAATTTGGAGTTGTTGTTGTAACTAGGATATAGGTTGAATTTTTCAAATTTGCAATAGTTAGGAATTCATGAATTGAATTAGAGAGTTTGTTTTGCCTCTTGAATTTTCAAGTTTTTAGAATGGAATATAATTAGGTATAATTTTCAGATTTGTGTTATCTTAGGTTAATTCTACAAATTGATTTAGGAATTTCGTGCATACTAACACTTAGTTTAGTTTTAGGTACTAATTCTTGACTTTGTTATCAATTTTGATATCAAAATGATAAGAAACAATGTGTTTGTTAGTTGTTCATGAGGTTATGAGATTATGCTTAATTCTGAATTTCTTACCGCTTGTTTGAAAAGTGCCGGTAACATAACTTCATGAATTGAAATCAATACTACTAATCTCTTTAATACTTTGATACTAACTAGCATTATTTAATTTCATTATTTGTTGTTTTTTGGTGGAAATTGAAGCATTAGAATGTATCTTGATGCATAAGTTTTTACTTTCTACAAGTTATGGTATAACTCCAATTTTCCTCTACTTTGACATAAGCTTGCAGTGGAGATAGTTTTGCAATTTGTAGATGTGTCGTAATGCTTTAAGATCATGTATCTCTCTCACTGTTTTGTTGTCTTTGTCATTTATGTATGTCGCTTTGCTTTCAAGTTTTTGATAAGTACTTGCATGCTAGCATTCAAGACTAGACGTTAAATGTGGATTTCCAAATTCTGATTTGTGGTGAATGCTAGCATGTATATAGGTTTGTCCATAATTTGTGATTATGCCTTGGCATGTAATTTAATTCCGGATTAGAGTTACTACAATGTTTTGTTGTTTTTAAAAGATACCGAGATCTTTTCCGTTGCACTTTTTCAAGATATTTTGGACCTTACAAAATGGTAACAATGCTGTCTGGAATCTTGAATTATATGTACATAGAATTTTGATTCATGAACAGTATTTCTTTGTACATAATTTTGCCTCTTGTTAATACTGATATTTTTGGTTGTGTTTTAATCGATTTTTAGGCATACTTACGTAAGTATAGCGTGGCTTCCCGGAATACTCATTTTTTCATTAAAACTTGATTCTCTTCTCATTGATTGATTACTTGTGCTCGGTGCCATATCTTTTTGTTTCCGATATGAATAACTTTGCGTTTTGACTCAATTGTTGCACGTTTTCAAAACGATTGTAATGTTGTCCCGAATAGCATTTTTATGCTTCTTACTTATTTCAATTGCCAATTTGCACATCATTGAGTCGAAATGTATGAATGATTGATATTGAAACTTGAGTTTCTCACATTTAAAGGAATTTGAGCATACTATTACTAACACTTCGGTTAGTTTTAGGTACTAATTCATGACATCGTATAAGTTTTGACAGCCGAATGCTAAAGAAGCTAGGTATTGGATAAGTAACTCATGAATTTGGAACTTTATATTGTGAGTTTTCTTCAAAGTATTGATGTCAAAGTAATCGGACTTTGTTGCTGTGTTTTTTTTGGTTGATAATCTCAAGAGGCTTCCTTGCATTATGATGTATCCTGTACGTAGCATTTTCAAATTACCAATGTTTTCTCACTTTTGACATAAAACTCACTTTTTTTCCAAATATTTGTGGATACTTGTTGATTGTCATTACTAAGTGTTGATATGAGTTCCAACAAATTCTAATACCATTGTAAAACTCAGTTGAAACAAGTTTGATCGAGTTTAATGGAAAACATCTCAACATTTGAAAAATATGACATTTTTTGACATAAACCGATTTTTGCCATAACTTGTGAACCTCTTTGAGTTTTTCCGACTTTCTTTAACGAAGACCATGTCTCTCGAGCCATCCGGAGCAGCCTATGCGTTTAGTTTTTCGATTCGAACATTTGTCACCCGATTTTCCCGAACCAGAATTGTTGGAAATTCGAGTTTTCGGGTGAAATTTGACCGAATTGAACACATTTTTGTAACTGTTGGCACATGTATAGCTGCACATAATTTTTATAAAACATGCCGGATGGTTTTCAAGAGGTTATCACTTGTTTCGGAAGCACTTTTCGGTTTATGCACGTATTATGCGTTTTTTTTTAAATAATGTTTTGCACTAACTTTGATCCATGACGTCGTTCCCTTTAGTGCGTAAATATACTAACTTGTAGAAATAGTCTAACTCTTTAGTTTTTACATTGAATGTGTCCATTTCTGCTTTATGTAAACACTGCATTTTTTTAATACCGTTAACTTATACATGTGTGTTTTTACCGTTTTTTAGTGCAATTACTTGAATATGGCACGGTTGTCTGGAGTATGGTCATTAGTACCTAAACATGATTCATTTTCAATACTTGACCATTCACAGTTCATACTTATGCCAGTTTCACTTTTCTTACTTTTATACCAATTTTGGTGCACTTTTCAGTACTAATGCTATGCTGTCCGGAAATGCCATATTATGTTCAAGTGACTTGCCTATTTTGTATTGTACATAATATTGTTGTTTTAATCATTGATTACTTACTTACCATTTGTATTTTAAGTGTGTTGTTATTTTCTAGCCATTTTGGTGAGTTGTGCATATATTAAGAAACAAGTTTGGATTGGTCGCTTCGGTGACAGATGCTTGCTTGCATTTGCCTATCTCTTTTTCTAACGTTGCTTGCTTGTGGACGCTAGCTTTTGGAGATTTTGCAGAAGATTTCAGATATTTGTTATAGAGTTTTTTGTATACGGATTTGTCTTATTCGTATGGTATACATTCAGATCCTTGTTGTTGTAAATATTGTAAATACAACATTTTACCGCTTTCTAGAAATCATGAGAAGAAGGAAGCATGAAATAAAAAGAGCGTGCGCTCGAAGTCGCTGTTTAAAGTCCTGTAGCAGGCACCATTTTCTGTATGCTAATTGTGTTTGTTTAAAATCCAACCTTGAAAGTAGGTATTATGTACGTATGTTTATATTTGTGCCAGCATTATATTACAGGTGATAAGTCCTCAAAAGAGGCGAGCGGGGAAGAGCCCGTAATCGACCCCTGCACATTCTAGTCCATGTCATCCTTAGCTCACGTGGTACGTCGATGCTTCAGAGTCGTGCATATCATATGTATCGAGTCTGTCAAGTGAGGAAGGGTTTTGCAATCAAACCCCCACGCATTGTCAGGAGTTTGCATTGGCCGATGCTAACACTCCGTGATTGTTCATATTGTCTTCTATCGTCTACCTCGATCCTCTATATCTTGGTTAGATGTTCAGTCGCTTTGGTCGTCACATTTTTATTATTTCATCCGTCTCCCGCTTGTTTGCTTCGGGCGATTCTCTCCCTATACCTAAAGCGTTTTCTCTTCATACCCCCATCCCCTGAGTCAGTATACCCCGATTGTGTGCTTTTGCCAAAACACTTGTTTGCTCACTTGTTTGGTATTTACCATGCTCCCTTAGAATTGCTCGTGTAGGGTTAGTCCTCGAGCTAGACATTAGGATAGATATCCATGCATGCTAACATAGGTTAGAGACTTCCCTTTTCATCCTCAACTTTAGGGTCAATCATTGTATGATAACATTAGGGGTAGTACTAGGCTAGTCTCCCTTAGTTATTTTTCCTTTCTTTGCATACTGCATCTTAAAACTAAAACTTCTTGGCAAATCATAAAAATGTCTAATAAAATTAAATCCTTCTTCAAGGTAAAAAACACAAACTAATCTTAATTGTTTGTGCGCCTTTTGGCTTTGTTTTAAACTTCATCAATTGATGTTTTTCTATCCTTGCCATGATATTTTGTTATCTTTTCTTCAATGTTTCGTCATCGCACATGTTTGTTATCCTACTTTGATTCTCAATATCATTTTTAAGTGTGATGTTTTATCATCCGAATTATTGATGTTTCGCCATCTTTTGCCATGACATTTTCTTATTTTTTAGCCTATGTTTCTCCATCGCATATGATTGTTGCCGATGTTTCTCCATCGCGCATGTTTGTTATCCTACTTTGATTCTCAATATCATTGTTAGGTGTGATGTTTTATCATCTTAATTGTTGATGTTTCGCCATCCTTGCCATGATATTTTGCTATCTTTTAGCTGATGTTTCGCCATCGCATATATCTTTTCGCCGATGTTTCTCCATCACACATATTTGTTATCCTACTTTGATTTTCAATATCATTGTTAGGTGTGATGTTTTATCATCTAAATTGTTGATGTCTCTCCATCTTTGCCATGTTACCTTGCTATCTTTTTGCCGATGTTTCGTTATCACATATGTTTGTTGCCGATGTTTCGCCATCGCATATGTTTGTCATCCTACTTTGATTTTTGATATCATTGTTAGGTGTAATGTTTTATCGTCTTGTCTGATATTTTGTTATCATGCTGACGCGTTATCATCTTATCTGAGTTCGTGTTTCCATGTGATGCCTTGTCATCCTTTTTTTGTTGTTTTATCATCGTTGTTGATGTTTTGTCATTTTATCTAATGTTTTTCCATCTTGATTGTTGCTTTTGTCTTCTTAACTAAAAAACACAAACCAACCAAAATATATGAGGTGAACTACGGCTGTTGTGATTCCTTAAAAGGGATACGTAGGCAGAGGCTTTTGTGGGGCCTAATCGAGCATATCTTTGTAAATATTCCTTTCTTTTCCCCACACTTTCTTTTCCTTTTTCTTTGCATGCATTCCCTTTTCAGCTTTAAGCCTTATATATAGATTTTACACACCCTTAGATTAGAACGAACAAGAGTGGATACCGTAGAGTAATACAGACGTGTGAGGTACTAATACCTTTCCCTCGCATAACAGACTCCCTACCTGATCTCTCGGTCGCAAGACCGTAATTTCACCTCTTCAGGTTTTATCGATGTATACCTTTCCCTTTCGGCGGGTGTTTACAGTGATTTCTGGTAAACAACCGCTAGTCCTCCAAACTATCAAATAATCTTAATGACTATTATTTAATCTCTCTGGTAACTTGCAGGATCGACTAGATTGATCCTATGGTGTATTGGTCGTTTGGATGATTCTCATTGTAGAACTGATATTCATGGTTGGTATTTAGAATGTTGTGTAGGTGTTCAACTTACTTCGATTACCATATTAAAGATCTAATGACATGATCAGGTAAATACGTGCGAAACTAAATTGCATGAATAAAGGTTCAATTGTAAAGACATGTAAAACTTGCAAGAAACAAGTAAATAACTTCGAAGTGTAAAAGCATGTAATGTAAAAGAGTTTCTGGAATGTAAAAGGTTCGAAATAGAAAGAAAGCGTTTAAATGCAAGAAATCAGTAAAATGACTTTGGATGAAAAGGTATTCGAATGATAAAAGCATGAAAATAAGAGCATGAAATATACAAAAGTTTCTGAAATGTAAAGGATTTGAAATAGAAAGAAAGCATTTAAATGCAAGAAATCAGTAAAAGACTTCGAATGAAAATACTTTAATGTAAAGGCTTTTGAATGATATTGACATGAAGATAGAAGATAAACTGGAAATGATAAAGAGTTTTTTGCTGAATCATAAATATTTGGTGTTATCATACGTACATTGTTCGAGCATTCGTTTCCCTAGCCATGTGGTATTTTGAATGTTTACTGAATTTTGTTCAATAGATATGACACACGAAATCCTAACGCTAAGACTTCTATTTATACTATTTCGACCATAACGGTCTTGCCTATAAGATCCTGCCACGTTCAGAACATGCAGAACACTGCCCTTCTCTATCTTCTACGCGTCTTCGAATGCTCCAGCGCATATATTTTAAATTTCGAACATCCCGCTTGCGTTTTGAATTTCAAATGTTTTGGCACTCTTCGCTTCGAACTCATTTCTTGGACACAGCCTTGTTACCACTTCGAAACTTCTTTTGAATATATCCCCATAACTGTCACTCGAAGCTCCGAGCTTTGACATGCCCATTCGAAGCACTGCTTCTACCATTTCGAACCATGACATCTTGCTTTATTCCAACGAAACATCCAACTTGCTTCGCTTCGAACAGTATCATTAAAATCTTCAGCCAACAAAACGCCCCTTTTAAAATATGTATTTCGATCCTTTGAGAAACACTTATTTTAAATATATATGCAAGATTTTGATGTGACCTTTGAGTAATTGTAACATTTATTAAGTATGACTCCAGTCACGTCAATCACGACGCCTCTTGGATTCCTTAACCGTCTTGAATTAGTACTTCACAGCATGGTGCAGTTATAAAACAATGATTATTATTAATCACGCCTATTACCAATATCAACTTTTACGCCACCTCCTTCTCAATCCAACCCACGACTCCCACGTATCCTAGTCTTACTCAGTGGATGTTTAAACTTCCACACTATAAAAACCCAACAACTTAGTCTTTTATTTTTTCTTTCCACATTCTGAATCTTTTCTTCCTCTCTTCTCACTGAAACCCTAAAACTTCCAACAATCTTCAACAATGTCTTCTACAACATCATCCCAACTGAAGAAAACTTCCAAAAAGAAAGGAAAGAACACATGAACAATAATGGAAAGCAAGGTTGGTACCTATCAAGGTCAATCTGTGCTTATCCCCCAAATGATCTCCAAAGAGAAGGAAATGCTCTACGCATCTCAGGTACTAATTCCAACTAATGCTGCTGGAAAGAGGTTTGCTCTAATGGGTCCTCTTACAGTCTTTGAAATCTTAAAAGATACTAGAAAAATCTTCCCTGTTTGCTTATCAACCCAACTTCGTTTCTAGACAATTTGGCCTGTGCCAACTAATCCCTGAACCCCTGTTCCAAACAGAAAGTGCCATCACTTCTGGGCGAACCTTCAAAGCAAGAGAAGCCAAACTACAACAGGAACAATATCAAGGCTTCGCCCACTTTGAACTAATACCTTTTGAACCTACATACTTCACAACAAAGGGTTTTCTGGAATGGTGGACAAAGTTCTACCAATCTTATATGTTCGATACCCTCTCTATTCAACAGAAACTAACTGATGCGTTCGATGTGCAGGTACACTCCAAGAAAGGTATGTTCACTCATGCCAAAGAGATTAGGGTTTTTCAAAATTATTTCGAAACCACTTATGATCCCACACACTTGGAATCCACTGTGCATCAAGCGGCTGAGACCTTGAAGGAAAATTTTAAAGAAAAAATTTCTAAGCTAAAACTTCCTTCAGGGTTGTCACCTGAGGATAGGTATAGGTTGGCATTCAAAATGCATCCACCTAAATTTCCTAGATTGCCTACCTCAGAACTGGCTCTGGCTTGGTTTCCTCCATACCCTTGGTGGTTCACTTGCAAAGAAATGTTCAAATATCTTCAAAAGAAACCAAAGCCATTTGAGACTGTGACATGGGCTCGTCATTGGCTCCACGATTTCCCAGGACATCTTCGCTATGACCTTTCTGCCATGTCGATTAAATCTGATCAAGGCGCAGGTGCGAATGCTTGGGAAAATCCCAAATGTTTCTCACTTTCTACATTTTTAACTTTTATCTTAATTGTTTCG